TTCAAAATTGACCTCAAGGTCAAAACCAATGGTACAATTGAATGACCCCCTCTGTCCTGGTCAACTTTTATCTAAACCATTTTTTTTGTAGATACCGTAATTTGGAAGATATTCGGATCCATAGACTAAAATGACTCACCCTGTATATTAGCTCTGGTACGGTACCTCAACCTGTCAGACACCCTGTATAATATTTAATATTTTATGTTTCACTTTGGTTTGCATGTGTTTTATTTGGTGTGTTTAAAATAATATATTTATATATAAATTATAATTGCTTTAAATAAGAGTTCTGTTATTTTGTTGAAAAGAACGAATTAGATTAGTTTCAAATTTTAATTTAAAATTTATTAACTTAATCTTTCGTTGAACATCTAAATGCAGTGATGCAATCACTAGCTTAATAATGTACATTATATCAATATTTGTTGGATATTTAATGTTGTTCCGTCATTTCAATGTTCTCTCATAAATATAAAATAATATTCTGTGAATACTATAAAAGATATATTATGTAAGTCCTAAGAACATTCTTAGAATCATTACGATAATCGCGTCCCGCACGATCTCAGAAATGTAAGGAATAGGACGTAGCATGGTCAAAACAAAGATAAGTAATCGATTAAAATTCAGATCAAAGAACATTCTTTTAATTAACTTACAGTGACCTTTATAATACATTACCGAAATACTTAAAGTTTTGTTCAAAATTACGACAAATTTAATAAAGTAACTTTCTTGGTAAACTTTGTATTTTGTTTTGAGTTTTTTAAAGTAGATATTCATAAGTGATGTATCATGTAATGTATTTGTCATATTGTTTCTCTCCACTAACGAATATTTCTAGTTCGTCATCTCAACAGTTACAAATTATCTTGCCAACAACTTTTTCGATACATACAAACATACTTGTACATTGTTATTAATTGTTATTAATGTTCTGTGTATTGTTACCGGTTAAACATCTATATATAACCCGTATACATATTTCTGTTACATTCCGTAACTTTACGAGTTTGGCGCATTATTTTGAAATAAATATTACAAACAAACGGTAACAAATAAACTACTTACAAACGATAATTACTAAGACGTATTGTGATGGATTTGCGGCAATTATCAACTTTTAATGGACCATACACAGAAGACAAATATAATCAGTTTTTCAATCCAAACATTTTTCATGTTTGCAAACAGCCCAGTGAAGTCTTGGTAACGTGTAATCAGTGTTATATGATTTCTTTCCGTTCCGAGGAGCATCGGGCGATATTCAGAAACTTACACTCTGAGACCTGCAAAACTCTAGCAATGATAATAACGGATATATCGTTGTGCATCTCAACACGAGATGATAATGTTTGCAAATCGTGTTGTGTCTGTTTCCGACAGGCAAACATATGGCCTTGCAAGATTTGCTATTCAGTAAATTTTTGTGATGATCACCAAATAGCATTTAGTCAGTTACATGAGAAGTGCTGCGAAGATTTGCTGTTATTACTGAACATGAATATCGCCTGCATAAACGGCTGGATGGAAAGGATTATACGTTCAGAAAGTCGTAAGTTCACCAATTTTCCTGGTACAGAACCTTATCATGACACTATTACATTTATTAACAACTATGTACCTCATCGTAACTGTCACGACAGATCTTCCTCTTGTATGCCAATTATGTACTGGTCAACAGATCAATATGTGTATTCTGATTATGCATTCGGCTCGCTGGCATTATATTACGCGTTGCAGGAATCAAATTTACTACCTCTTGCAAGCAATGCATGTAAATATGTCATTCATGTTTATAGATATAAATAAAACAGATATGTTGAAAATGTGGCATATTTTTTTACATTTCTTTAAAAATATAAAGGAAATGTGAATTGTATTTATAAAAGTGCCAAAATTTGAATCGAACGATCTAGGGTTTGTTTATGCAACATGTCGTAAATATAAACAAAGACTTTTTATTAAAAGCGTATCAGAACAGTACCACGATTATATATGCTTAAATTCATATGAAAAACCGAATGAGATCATAATATTTGAAACAGAATGTCTTTGTATAGAAATATTGTTTGAATCTGTAAAAGCAATAACAGCGCAAGAGTGTCCGTTACTTTTAACCGCTGATTCGTAAAATACAGTGCAAGAAATTGTAGACAAGATACAAGAAGAAACAGGGACAACCAGAAATCGATTATACAGAGTAAATAATTTCCGCGGTTATATGCCACATAGAAATTATATGAATGGTGGATTTTATTACCGAAATGCGCATTTTATTATGTATTCATAGATTTAAATCACATGTCCGACCCAATCAACGGCTGAAGGTTATGTATTGTTTGATCCTGTTTTTATTTTGGTATAGTTTATGATACTCAATTTTTAATAATATTCGAAAATAAATCAAAATTTTCTTACTAAGGCATTTATTCGGTCATAAATTAATAGTATTTTTGTTAAAATATATTATGCTGATTTGTCAATATATAGTTTGTTAGCATATAATTTCTTATTTTTTTAAAATATGTAAAATATATTGTATATGAGGTAATAGAATGCTGGCTACATATATATAGTATCTTTATATTTTACTTTAAATTTTAAATTTGTCACATATTTACAGGCAATATTATATGCAGCTACGATTATTCTATATTGAGTTGCATGTAATTGTTTTTTAAATCTCTACTTCATTGTTCGTGTTCTACAAGTGATAGGTGATGATAATAATCTCAATGTTTTATGTAGATTACATGCGTCAAACTGTGTTTTGTAATCAATAATCATAACTTGCTAACATCGTTTTTTCCATTTTAAATTGTGAAAATGTATTAAAAAGTATGAAAATATACCTGGAATTATTAGCGTCTCCCGAGTTATCATCTGTAATTGTAAATTAAATGCAAGTGTAATTATAGTCGGCAACAAAATATAGATCTTTTAATAGTACACATTCATTAGTATTATGTTTTTCTTTCCCGATCTTGTAAAAGATCTTGTGTAGTTCATACCATTTTGAAAGGAAATATATATACGATTGCATAATTATATCCATTATAACGTCTCTGTTATTACGCTATTTGCCACGATTAACAGTAAGTATAGCGTAGAAAAATTTTCTGGTCACATGATAAGGATGCATAATATGCAAAATGCTACAATTAGTCACACTGACAAGGGAATATACGCAACACAAAAATTCAAAAAATTCTGAAACGTGTGCAAGTGGAGTAGTACTCCCACAACATAGAACTATTTTTTATTTATGCTCAATTTTGATTTAAGAGGCTGAAACCATCCCTTGAAAGATCATAACATTTTAATTTTTAGCGAATATTTCCTAAAATACAAGACATATGAAAAGATGGTTTATATAAAATGGTAGAATGTTTCACACTTTTTGCAACGATGTACTATAATTTTACAAAAATAAAAAATTTTTGAATCTTCCTTAACCTTCCTTAATACTCATTATCTTTACAAATTTTCAACTTTTTTTCGTTAGAACAAAAATAAAGAACATCGAATACTAAATTTACCCTTATATAACACTAGAAAATTGTGGCGATTTAATTTTGGAAAAAACGAGACGATAACATAGAGCTATAAGCGGCGCGCTATAGATAAACGTTTTTTAATTGAGTTATACTCAATAATTGCGTCTTTTTACATGTTTTCTTATACCGCAAGATGATAAGAACTTAATTCTAATGATATCATATCGAATGTATTACATGAGCTATGAATGTAAACAGAGATCTAGTAATTTACTTGTATAACAATAGTACAAC